TAAATATTATAAAGCATGGCACATGATTTATTTAATGATGTTAAGCTGGTTTTGGCCAACAGGGGTCTCCATTTAATGAAGGACCTCTATGGCAGGGAAATTATTCAGGTATTTTTTTAATTTCATTTTTTCATCTAAAAGTTTCAGGATGATTCACTCACAACAACCTGGACTCAGAAAATGATAGGTTTCAGACAACACAATGTTACATCTGGGAGTAGAATCCATAATGACATAAAATGTGCAAGCTAATACAGAGCACATATTAAAAGTACTCACAACAATGTGTAAAAGAACATCGCATTTTGGAAATATTATTCTTATATTTTTCAGTAAGCTGTGCATTTAAATTTGATCAAGCAATACTCTTACTTTTCAGGTTTTGTAGAGCAAACTATTGTTATCAGACCAGATTTGTGTTTTCTATCTTCCTTAAATGAAGAGGTTGCAGAAGGTTAATTTAAAAGCCAACATCTTCAGTCCTATGAAGATCTTGGCTTGCTCTTCAGGAGGCTGGATTCTCCATACCTCAACTGTCTTACATAGTAGAAGTGTAGTAATACTACAGTTCATCTTTCCACCATTATTAAAGGTTCAAAACATTTTTTTTTTAATTTCTGGCTTTCTCCATTTGCTACTTACTTTATCTATGAGTCCTTAAACCTTCTATTATGGCATATCACAGCATTTGCACTGCAGGCCTAACGTCTGCTGAGATCACACCTCAGACTGTGTTCCATCCATCCATTTTCTAACCACTCCTTCCAATGAAGGGCTGCAGGAAGGCAGATCCTGTCCAGGCAAGCACTGGGAGCAACCTCCCAATATGTCTTTGCATGTGGGAGGAAACGGGAGCATCTGGAGGAAACCTATGGAAACACAGGGAGAATCTAAAAACTCCACATAGACAGCACCCCAGGTCCAGAATTGAACCCAGGGTCCCAGTACATCAAGGCAGCAGTGTTCAACACTGAGTGTCTGTGCTGCCCCCAGTTTATAAATCTTGGCTGTTGAAATCTGATGGTGTCCCAGTTACACAAGCTGTTTGACAGGGCTCTGTGTTGGGACCATGAATGAATGCAGTATATGCTCCCTCATGGTAAGATTATTCATTATCGTGGACTTTCACTCTTATGCTGTTGCCACTCGTATTTATTTTTAAACTTAATCTTCTACTACTTTCAGAATTTGACAGCTTTCGATGCTTTAGATAAGGATGCCTCAGAACTTTCTTAGACTAAAATGTGTCTAGACTGAGGATGTGCTCATTGGCTCCCAACAACACCTACACAAACTTGGTGATCAGTGTTGCTGTTGACGGCACTGAAATTAAACCCTCGACAGGAGTCAGAAACCTTGGTGTTATTTTTGAACCTGTGTTGTCATTCGAAGCCCATGTTAGAATCGTCACAAGGGTATCTCTTTTCCAGCTGCCTAGCATTGCCCAGTTAAAGTCCTCACACCGTCTACCTGACGCTGAAAACTTGATACATATCTGGATTTATTCAAGACTAGACTGCTGTAATACCTTTCGTATTGAAGTATCTGTTTAGGTACTAAACAGTCCAGTCCATACATCTTTAGTTAATATGCTAATGAAAACTGAATTGCCCTCCTTTAAAATACAGAGTTGATCTGAAGGTTCTTTTCCTTACTTACAAAAGACACTGGTTTAGCTCCTGGTTATAGTAAGGTCTTGTTGAATAACTGTAGAATAACTGAGCTCTTGTTATGCTACCTAAATCCAGCATTCACACAGTGGACAATAGGATATTCTTCTGTGTGCCTTTACCATTGTGGAACTCATTATCCAGATTCATTAGAAACTCTACAACTCTGTGGCCTAATTGGTGTGATTTTCCTTTTGTATTCTGCGTTATATGTACGAGCTACTTTATTCTTGCATTGAGTTTAAAGTCACGTTATGAGAAATTCAACATCTATTGAAACAGGATAATATGATTAATTATGGAAAAGTTATAACAGAAAACTGCCACACGGGAGCAGTAAAGAGTCAGTAACAATATACCGCAACACATGACCTGGTCTGTAAAGTAAAATCAATTGCAGTGGAAGGATATTTTTGTCATTATAAATCCTCTAGACCTATTACAGACAAAATTCGATAATTTCCTATTGTTTTTTTCTACCTGCGACTTATATTTTTTGTTGTGATATGATACACATAAGCTATCTTATAAGCATGTGTCGTATTTTTATATATTTCATTTTACTTTTTTATTGTACTTTTTATCACTCTGTATAGCGTATTTGGATTTGGAAAAAGGCGCTTTATAAATAAATGTATGGCTTATATTTCATGTAAGCAGGTATTGCTACTATATATAGCAAAGTAAACTGCTATGTAATTAATTTACCTGATACGTTCAATCAAAGCAACTTGAATTCAGTATATTTACCACGGGACAACCTTGTCGTGCATGCTGCACCTAACTTTTTCAAAACAAAATCTTTTACTGGACAGATATTGTTTTCAGTGCAGAGCACGACGTCTTTTTCAAATTCTTATTTTAATAGAAAACTGAGAGAGGATTAAATGAGTAACACACACAGCGATCAAAAACGTTTTGATTGAACTCCGTCTAGGCTGCAACAGTGACCTTCATCTACAGCACAACTGCATAAAAGTAAATTGCACGCTTTATTGTTTCTTTTACCGCAAGCAGGAATGTCACCGATCTATACTTACTGGGAAGTGTGTGTCCTTGTTTAATAAAAGAAATGTTAAAAGTGGTAAGACAATCAAATGCTGATTATTTTACTCGCAACACTGTAAAACAAGAAATGTGGAGGCTGTTTTGCTTTTTTCCTATCGGGAAAGTGCCTCTTTTTCTAAAAGTTTTCCAATATCGGCAATAACTCCTAAAAACACATTAGCGGGCACCGCTTGGTGAGAGGGTATGAGGTAATGGAGAGAGGTTTCAAATTTCGTGGGGTTTCTGACGCGTACCTGGAGGTCTCTGCAATCCCCCTAAGTGCCACTAGGCGGCGCACCAACGCCTTCACCGCATCAGTGCGGTGTCTCCACCTCGCGCAGGACAGCTGCGGAAATCCGTTTTGTAGCTTTAGCCTGAACAGACCACTCTTTATTCGACCTTTAAGGGGGATTCTGATTTAGAGGTGGCTTAATCCCCACATATGGTAGCATCGCATCATTGACCTTTAGGGTGTTTCTTCCTGAAATGTGCTCGCCCATCAGCCTTCTAATTCTCCGGCATCCACCAGAAAAGCATCAGCCGCCGTCGCTCAATGAGCAGTCAGCTTGTGTGCCGGAAGCACAGGTAGTTCTGGACAGGTCTCCGTGGCCGGCCTGGGTGCACACTGCCAGTTGTGTCCGTGCCTCGGTATGACTTCGCCCTTCAGACGAGGAGGACGATCCCTGCTGAGCTCACATCAGTCTGGAACATGGTTTGTCACCACACCAGTTAATTGCTTTGCACATTCACAGATCAGCTGTAATGGGCTACTAATGGCCTTTCCAAAAGCACAGGATCTTTCAAGGCCCCTGAGCTTTCGGTTAAACCAGTTAAGCCAATTACAGTTTAATTAGTCCAAATTAAAGTGATCGTTAGCCACTTATTGAAGACAGCTATAAAACCCCGGAGAACTGGGTGGGATTCTCCAGGACCACAATGGGCGACCGCAGCACAGCATCTTTCAACAAGTATGACATTTCAAGCCCCAAACAGTTATTTTAGCTCAGTTGTGGTGTTCTTGTGCTCTGCTGTTAAGCGGATACACAGCAGGTTTCTCGAGCGTTTTGTTCCAAGTGTCCTAGTGCCTTCAGAACAATTACATTGAGAATGGGCAGTGTACATTTAGAAGGCCAGATATCTATTCATGATGCCTTCATGAGAATGTGCTTGGACTGCAGACCCCTGCGCGTTTATGGGACAGTGGGATTTTCTCGCAACGCGTCTGCAACCCTGCATGATGAAAATACAAGCTTTCCCCCGACCGTCAGCTTTGTGGCAAAAAAATCCTCAAGTCAACGGGTACTACTGGGTTTGTGCCTGATCCCTTTTGTGCTTGGTGCTGTGTCATAGTGGCATAAGCTTACTGTCAATGCTGGTCCGTTAGGTGTTGAAAAGCCATGCGCTTTTTCACAACAGATGCCAGATCACTCCAGCTTCAAACAGACGACTCGTATTTTTAACATTCCAGGAAACAGCACACAGCAATCAGCAATCAGCAATAGCGGTAGCAGCTTAGTGATACAGTTACGCCCAGCTTCCCTAATTCTCCTGCACATAGGATCAGAATGATCACAGTGCAATTTGCCTGTTTGTCCACACTTTTCATTTTAATCAGTATAAATGAATCCAAACAGAATGTAATGGCAAGGCATGGGGGCAAGTTCCTTGGGGGGGGCGGGGGGTAGTTTGGGTCACGTCTCCCTCCACCGGCGGTAGTAATTATTGCTCCGGCCTTTTTCTCTCTGATTGCCTTTCAATTAAGACCAGCAGCGTCTTTAATCAGATAATGGCAGCCCTTCCTTCTCTGCCAGGGCCCCACCCCTCTCTCTGCGCCCAGTGGGGACAGGAACGGCTTGAGCTGCTATCGTGGCCTGTTCCCTTGGAGACCACATCAAAGAGTGGCACAGGGGCCCTAGAGTTAAAAACGGAATGCTGGTTTCGCCAGTGTTGATAATGAGAACCTGCCACTGCTTCTCCAAACCTCAAATGATGTACAACTTAAGGAATTAGCTTCCCTCACTCAAGATTGGACTGAATTCTAAAAGCCCTTTTTTCACTTCCACAGAAGATCTATACAGAAAGGCTGGTTAATGAGCCCTGTCACAGGATGAGCAGTGAGCTAAGGGCTTAGGACTTGAGAGGCCCCTGTGTAGATATAAGAATGGAGACTGGTACCCCTGTTTCCCAGCTGCTGGACAACAGCAAAATCCTTTTCCAATAAAGCGGACACTTTGTCTGTTGAAGGTCACTGACATCACCAGAGACCAGGGCTTTAATTCCTACAACAACCCCTGTACTCTTTGCGTGATTTTTCAAAGTGTTTCCAATAATTATTTGAAATCATTTTGTTCACGTCTTAAACTCCGTGGTTTCACATAAATGAGTTATTATTCTCTGCAGGATGGCGAAGAGGCAGAAGATAGTGTGTGAGATGAAAATAGCAAAAGTCTTGGAGGCCCTCTTGTTTCAAATCATGACTGCAGCTCAACGTGTTCAAACAAATGTTTTTTTGCACAGAAATACTTAATGCAATCGGTAATCGAATGGGTTCCTGCACAGGTATAGTGCTGGAAATTCTCGAATCATTTTTAGCTGCCCATAGGAGCATGTGTTGTCACAACTTCTTTTCAACAAACGGTTCTGACTGTAGCTGTTCACAATTTTAAATGCAATATTACATGTTAAAATACAGACCAGGGTAGCCAACTCCAGTTGTCCAGGGTCCTTCTTGTTGTACAGCCACATTTTAATTGTGGTGAAGATTAAGGCCCAACAAAACTGGTATCTATTAATCAATCGATCAATCAATCTAAATGAATAAAGGAATGAAACATTGAGGACCCTATAATGCTTAAGGACCACCACCTCTAGTCAGATCAATGAGGGCACAAGTATTATAATGAAGAAGATGAGCAGAATACGCTCCCAAAGCTAGTGTTCCAGTTGTGAACAATACCAGTACCTCCATCCATTTTCAAACCACTTCTTCCAAATCAGAGCCTAACCCAGCAAGCAAAGGATATACTAATTCTAGCATATTTTCCCAGATGCCAAACTAATCTACCAGTATGTCTTTGGACTGGGGGAGGAAACCCGAGGAAACCCAGGAAAACAGGAGGAGAACTTACAAACACCATGCAGACAGCACACCA